GGGTGATTTGGAAGGAACATACACACAACCTCAGATGTTTGCTCCCATTGCCTTCGTGAATCCGATTCGGAACTCTTTCACCTGAGGAAGCATCAAGGCCTGGGGTTCCAAGGGCTCTGGCTGTGAGCTCTTAGAGCAGCCAACGCCCAAACCCTCCGCTGGCAGCTGTGCAGGGGACTCAGAGCTGTGCTAGTCGGTCACAAGTTCCATGTGGCGAGTCCCAGCAGAAGACATGCAGGTGGTGAGACCTCCCGAACGGGTGTGTGCTTAGTATTCAGGTCTCGACCTCTCTTTAAGACTCGCTGGAAGAAGGACTGTTTGTTTTCGAAAAGCCATAAAGTTTGGAGGTCTCCCTAGCACAAACCATCTTCCTGAGCACATGAGCACATACTTGTTCAACTTCCACTTCCCTTAGATGAAATCCGAATCGATGCACCGTAGTTAAGCCCTTGGAACTGATCTGTCTTTGACCCGGCTCCAAGCCTCGAGCTGCTTGAGCTCAGTTTGACGTTGATGAGGTGGTTCGCGTGTCAGCAGTGGGGCTGAACCCCACCGACTGGAAGCACGTGGGCAATGGCATGCACCTTGTCGATGTGGCCAAGCGGATGGCGGTTGATGCAGGAGAAGAGCAGCTCCATAACTGGAGTGTTTGAATCACATCCTTTCCGTCGGCCGAAACAGGCTGGGACGCGGTTTTGGTCAACTCATTGTTTGGCAAAACATACAAAGTGTAACAACTATATGTACTTACCAGCAACAGAAGGTTGGTCTATAGCCCCCCTGACGGTGTATGTTCCATCGAACAACCACCCTGTCTCCTGGGTGGTGCATCAAAACAGGCGACACGGTCCAGTCGAAGGGTTTTTTCTTCGGTCGACCGGACCACCGCGGTGTGAACGACGTTTCATCCGAGCCAAGTGCCCCGCGGTTCGATCCGTTGGCTGAAAAAAAACAAAAAGAGGACCAAGAGACCCACCTGGAACCGGGCTTGGCATGGACCACACTGGAAGACCAGCTTCCTCCGGCTGCACCTCTAGTGGTGTTCTGTGAGTCTCTTCCAGGGCGTAGATCAATTTCTGAGGCCTGTGTATCTCCCTTACTGCTGTGGGTCACTTACTGTTCTTCTCTCTTGCACCGAAACCCGTCCACCGAGCACCGGCGGCCGGTCTCAGACTGCAGTCGGTCGCCGTCACCGGTCTTTTCTCGGTCGCGTCTTCGGACCAGTGCCCCAAGGCACTACTACACCATGACCAAGGCCACCCCAGAAAAGCCGGTGATCTTGGGCTCAGAAGGCTCCGGTGTGGTCGAGCAGACCAGCGAGGGCAGCAGCTTTCAGGTCGGACAGAAGGCGGGGAACGGGCGCTCCCCGGCGCGCCCCTTCCCAGTTGCGTCGCCGGGTGGGGCCAGGGTCTTTCTGAGTACTGTAATTGTCTAGTTTTCCAGCTAGAACCTTCAAACAGTGGAATAGTGTTGTGTGCGGAAGACATCACTTGGTTACCCACAGTAGTCTGTATGTACTCGTAGACTTGTTTTGGCTGTTGTTTTTCATTGGAGGAGCCGGATGAACTGAACGCCCTGCTGGCCAATGCCGGATGATAAATGGCTCAACAGAATACGAGATCATTCCCTTTTTGAAAGCTTCAGAGGCGTTCATGTGATCTCTCCGTACCTCACGGAACATGACACATGACCTTGTCTGAGGTGTTCTCGCTGACTGACTGAGACTCCGTACATGGGAGAGATCCGTTCCGAGTGATCCGGGCCCTCCCACTCGTGTTGGGAGAGACTCCGTCTATAACTCCTCGTGTTGGGAGAGACTCCGGCTCTCGAGCGACGCGTGAGCGACGCTGACGTTGGCCACCAGGTCTGGTTCATGGCCTTTAAGACTTGCTCCGAGACTTGGCCCTGACACCGCCCATGCCTGGGCAGTGGGAGAGCGTGGTGATGTGGACTGCGTGCTTGCGGTGAGAGGTTCCAGATTTAAGACATGAAATCACAAGTAGAGATGGACCAGACATTGATACAGTATTTACCTACCCATTTAACACCTGTTTAGGAAAGTTCAAGCATGTTTTTTTACATGGTTCATGGTTGATATTCCAGAATAGGATTTACTCAGGTTCTGTGTAATATTATTGCTTGGTTGATTTGTTGTTTCGATTATATGTGAAGTTGTGCAATGAGCAATAAGTAGCAAGAATCAACACGGATCTAACGAGAACAACAACACCAACAGTCCATAATTCTTGGTGTTTGAAGTACAAACACATGACTCATGGCTATAAAGTTCTTGTCGGTCAATCCGCTTGACTTGCCAATCAGTTGTGTCCACATGAATAGCTCGCCCCGATGTTAGCAATCAATCATAGTCGATTTGGTTGATACCCTTGCTGGTTTCTTGAGCACAATTCCCTCACTACCTGAATCTAAACAGCGTTATCAACTAGACTCAACCAGGTCAAAATGCGCAATTTGGCAATTTACGGGGAGATGGAGATCTAGTCTTTAGCGCGGACCTTGAGAGGGACAGATTTTTGGGGGGGTTGACCCGTTGACCCATAGCCATAGCCATACGGTATAGTATATGGTGAATCAGGTGCTGATCAGTCACTATCCCAGGTAATTGGCAACGCTATCCGGGTCCCAAGTCTTTACAATTTTCCGAGGCGTTGCCACCTACCCACTGACCCAGAATATCACCATCTTTTAGGTATCTACCAAGTGCTCTTCATATCAACCAGGAACTGGTGGAGGTGAAGGATGACTGCATGGGATTGGCTCCAGAGCAGATGTCCATGGAAGAATCCGGTAGTACACCTTTAGCCTTGCTCACCGCCTATCAGAGCATGACTCTCGGGACACGAAGAGCGGTTCAGCGGAGACGACGATCGAAACGGAGGCGCTTCGATGAGTTACGAATCAAGTAAGGATCCCTCGGTTTGTTTGTGCCCCCCCAAAGAAGGACGCGTTTTGATGCAGTGGTGCAACACACATATTACTGTATTAGAACCACACTACTATATATACAGTAAAATTACAGTAAACTTCCGAGACTTGGAAGGGTTAGGTGCCTGCTTTTCATGCTTGTTTTTGATGGACAAGACAATTTTCTTGGCCTCAGGAATTGGTTCTTTGCTTCAGGTCCTAGAAATCGAATCTACTTGTTGGCCAAAGCACCTAGACTGTTGGACAAGCTGCAGCTGAGACACGTGGAAGTCCCTTGGATGTTCCCCATTGATGCAGCTCGCGAAGAGTAGTTGTGGTCCTGAGATTGATGTGGAAGCCATTGGCGTGTTATGTACGGATTTGAGGTGTACCTACATCCTAGGCCTAGGCCGGGTGGATACTACAACATGGCACGTTTTAAGCGTGATATGCAATTTTACACATATCCTATTGCGGACGGGCACGCAGCCACTGGTCCAGCCATTGCACGATCAAGAAGGGACTTGTGTGATGGATCCAGACGTTGAACTAGCAGATCTAGATGTCATAAATTGAGACAACACAAGTGGCTGTCGCTGTAGTTCTGTACAAGCTTTTTCCCAAACTTCAGGGGATTTTCATTTGCTTTCTCCATGGGACAGCTGTTTGATAGCCAAATCTCCGTCTCGCTATATCTCTTCTTTTTACTTCATTTTTGAATTTGCTTACATGCCATTCACGGCATGTCACATGTCTTAGCTAAGCTGATTCCGTCGGCCTAGCCCCGCCCAGGAAGGACGCTGGTTACTCAGAGCCCGGCTCTGGCGCCAATCAGCGGATCCTGGTGCATGCTGGCGCTGGGGGCGTGGGACACTTCGCAATTCAGCTGGCGAAGATCTATGGCTTTCAGGACTTCTCTTTGTGTTTCTCTGAAACGCACATGAGAACGGGTAGGAAGAGGAGGAGGAGGAGCAGGAGGAGGAGGAGGAAAACATGTGATATATAATGATATATACAGATCCGTATATGCTTGATGTCTCAATTGCTGGAATATGTTTCTGTGCATCACTCGATCTTCTACATCACTAATGGGGGGATCTGAAACGCGTCCCAGCAACAGGGCCGGTCCAGTCCTGTTGCAGCGTCGATACTTCAATCCTAAGCATTTGCACCGGACACTGTGTCCACTGTGTCCACGCTGGGTGGAGATGCGCCAAGCGGTTCTCTTTGTGTTCGGTATTCTTCGATCGAGCGGTTCTGTCCACTCGAGCGGCGATGGTGTTCCTCCCGTTCGAGCTTCACCGCCTGGATGGCCGTGAGTTGCTGGTCGATCTCGACCTGTCCTTCGAGGTCTCGGTGTCCATCGGAGCTAGCTCCGGCTGTTTGAGGTCGGCTCGGCGGGTATTGAGTAACAAGTGCATCGCTTGTAACCAGGGCATCGCTACTACTGTAGTAGCTTCTTGAGACTATAGTAGTAATGCCCTATTGATACTAGTAGCGATGCACCCTGCTACATCTTGCTACTATAGTAGCTAGAACATGGTCATGTATCTCACATGGTGAGTCTGACAGCTTTCCAAAGATGTTCAGATGCGCATATTCTCCAGGAGATTGTGACCACCTGCTCTGCAGCCAACGAAGAGTTCGTGAAAAGCCTCGGCGCAACGTCCATCGTGGATTACAAAAAAGAAGACTTTGTCAGCAAGAGCCTAGGCACAGTCAGGGAGGGGGTGGCAAAGTACTTGGACGTGCTTGGTGCGGGGGATGAGAGTTCCTGAGGCAAGACGAAGGACCCGTAAGGAAGATCTGGCTTTGCGAGACGAGGAGAGAAGCACACTTGTGCTTGTAGAGGAAACCCGTCGCGTATATATCCTCCTGGATAGAACATGATACAATTACTTGCAAGTTTCTTGTACACGTAAAATATGTATGACTTTACATGACTTACATTCATCCCTAGGAACCACCCCAAATCGACCGTCATATATTGTCCACGCTGTTGATGCGGTCGACTTGAAACAGCATCTTGTCGACCTGGCTGAACAACCCTTGATCCATCTGTCAACATGCGAGGTATGCCAACAACAAGTTCGACTTGGTGGTCGACCCTGTGGGCGGCGAGCCCATTGGCTGTTGTTGCGCTGCTCAGAACCCCCCTGGCACAGTACACTCCAAGGAGTCGACAAGTCACCAAGACTGGTGGCACCGTGGCTTGGGCTGGTTTTATGGCCTGGTGACGTTCTGCCCACCAAGCGTTTGGCCAGTAGTTTTGAGGCCCTTTGAGGCTTTGACATGCTTGGTTTGTATGTTCTATTTGTTTAATCGCGACTCTACTTGGGAGTTATAACAATGAATATGTTTCAATTTGGCTTTGATGGGCTTTGACTCAAGCGGGCTAATCCACCAACCGTCTTCACATGTAAATGCAACCTTTCCCGCAATGCAGCCTTTGCTGCCAGAGACTGCCCCCCAAAACAGTAATTCTAAAATTGTTCTGCCCCTTTGGGTCCGGGCTGGAATTGAGAATATTTAGAAATATCCATGATGCATGGATCAACATCAAAAGCGTCTCTTTCACAAACCCAAGGTGTCGTCCATTCAGAATTGGAAGGGTTCAGCCTCTCCCGAGGAGCTCAGGGGTTCAGCGTCTCCCTAGGCCCTATAGGGCAATTCAATTGGGTGAATCCTTTTTTCGAGAACAGAGTTTGCATGCTCAACGGATAGGAAGGTCAGGCGGCCGCTACCAACAATGGGTGCTGGTATCCTTGGATTTTTCCCCCTGAACGTGCACATGATACGTATGTGTGTTTTTAGATTGCGTACGGCATACGTTCAAAGGGAAGGATGTCAACCTGTATGGGCACGTAGAACAGAAGACAAAGTCACACCAGTCGCATATTCCCTATCTTGGAGCCTAGATGTCTATGTTCAACAGTAGTTGGATGCATTCATGCCTGAGCCCTATACCAGCAGGGTGTCCTCCTTCGTATCAGCACGGCATATCCCTTGTGTGTTATCTATCATCATGACATGTGCACGGGGGGATGGCCAGGCCTCGAAAGGCGTCCCTTGAAAGACATCTCATCGTCTCCACATCGTCTCCACCACAGACATTGGGACATCTTGAAATGGGTGTGTGTTTATACAGGGAGATCCCCTGACCCAAAGGGTTTTCGGTCTCTTCTCCTTCTTCCATTTTTTTTCCAGGGGGTCGTTAGATTGTTGCCTGGGAGGTTTCCCAGTTTTCTAAAACACACCCATGTTGAGCTTAGGAATTGATTTGGACAACAACTCTCTCAGGCGAACACCCCTTTGGACCAGCATAAATCTAGCGGTTCAGGGGAAGCCCCATGAAAATCACACCCATGCCGACAAAGCCATGGACCTAGGTGGGGTGAGTTGATTGAGAGTCAACCAAGCCAGATGTGGTTTTTCAACCCATAAGACATGGCTGTGGGGAGACTGGCATGATATTGACCGACCGGTTGACCTACCCGTGTCGAACTCACCTGGCAAATGGTGGACTGGTCAGTCGGGTGAACATGGTTTTTCGCGACCCATCCCCACATCTGGCCAAGTCAGGTGGTGGGCATCATCACTGGAACTAGCCTTCAGGGGGCGCCCTGTGGACGCTTGGTGCGCATATCTGCGCGTGGTGCGCGAAAAGCGGAAGCTTTGGGTTCACATCGCTCTTTGGTGGTTGATCGGTGGAATTCGCTGGTTGACTTCGCCTTTGGTGTTATTTGATCTCTTTATTGGGGCAGCTAAGGGGATTAGGTCGAAAAACAAGTCAGTTTCCAACATACCAGGTCGCGTGGTGACGACTGGGTTGTTCGATGTTGTTCGCATGATTTTTCCATTTGCTTACCGCTGTTTGCTGGTGTTTCGATTTGCACGTTCATCCAAGCCCTCGGTGACCGGAGTTGTTCGCATTCGAGTCCACGACCGATTGGCACCCAGAATTACTCGCTCAAGAGGGTCAGACCATCAAATCCGATTCAAGGCGGGTTGAAGGGGAGACAAACAAGTTCTGTGCACCAAGCAGAACGGCGCGAAGCAAGGATCAACTCCTTGTAAGAGACATGTTTTCGCGATTCACATATTAAACTTCTTAAAAATTTGACCATTTTTGACCTATAGGTCAAAACATGGTTGTTCGGTAAAGGCAATTCATGCGATCAGTGGTGGGCGACCGGAAGGGGTTTGACCAGCTGCCGCTGTGATTCGATCCGATCATCGGGGCAGGGCGGGTCGGCTTTGGCGTTGGGAGCCGGGGCAGGTCATTTTGACGTGTGAGTGGACATATTAGTGTGAGTATGGGTGTGTATTTTAAGGGGAGACGACCTGGGAAAAGGGACATAGATATACTGTAGATCAAAACCCATTGGTTTTGGGGTCCCGGGGGTCCCCCTATTAAAACACCAGGCTATACATGCAGTAATGATGTTCAATCAACATAATCAACTCCGCGACGCTAGGCATTTTCCAAAGCAAAGCACACCAATCAAGGAGCGATCGCAGCTGTGTGCTGCTCCTGCTTGCCGGCACTATGTGGCTACAAAGTCATGAGCGCCTGTGGACTGGCCCCGAAGCCAGCCGGCTGAGTCAGTCTGCCTGGTGAGGGTGACGGGAAGATGGAAACCGGATGCCCACCAGAGTTGGAAAATAAGAGGTTCGGACTGTACACCAAGTACTGCATGTTCGGATACCAGTTGCCATTTTTCGTTAGATTGGGGAGACTTCTGTCTCGCACCAGACTGACCAGACTGTCTCGCCAGGTTCGTGGGGCCTTTCATGCTCCGCGCCAACGAGGCGAAGGTGGACTTGACCCGACTCCGTCAATGGGTGGCTTGGAAACAAAGGGCATCGCCACTACTGGTAGGAGCAAGAAGCTACTAGTAGCTCCTGGCCATACTACTAGTAACAAGAAGCTAAGAAGCTACTAGGAACAAGTGCATCGGGTTCCACCTGTCAGAGAAGAGAACGGCCTTCAAGGCGTTGTGGTGCTTTGTGTTTACCAGGTGTTGTTGGAGGCGACTTTCGGGAATGGGACACCCCCAACCTCCATGTCAAGGTCTAAGTGACCCTCAAACCAGGAGATCAAAAGTTTTGAAGAACCAGGTGCTGAACTCTTTCCACCAATCCTTTGACTCCACCCCGACGAAAACAGGCTAGGGCCGATGACATGGGGTGTTTTGTTGTTGTTTTGTTATATTTTGTTTTCCGGTGATTTGCGGTGATGACAAGCCGCCACATGCGGTGTGTTTCAAAGAAAGGCCTCCTTGAGGACCTCAGATTTTTGGCACTTCTCACCTTTAAGTGGCATCCTCAGATGCACTGCCTGACGTCCACCCAGGTAGATCAGAAGCTTTTGCGCACTGAGATCGCGGAGGTTTATAGCCCCTCGGCACGGAGAGTCTTCGAAAAGTCGAAGCCAAATAGAGGATTCGTCGGGGACCTTTTCTGCAGAAGTCCGGTGGAAGTGGAAGGTTCCGTTCCACATACCCATTAGTAGATTTGTTTACGATGCTTTGAGTTTTTATGGGCTTGGCTACAGATAACTAACTCTGATATGTGCTTTGTCGCAAATACTACAGGGCAAAAGACGATTTACAGTACGCACTGGCTTCCCCATCAACAGACAACTTATTTGCTACAGCTGTTTTGCACAGTGCCCCAGAAGACACGAACAGCAAGAACTAGTTGAGTAGGACCTGCAGGAATGGAATCCTTTACACCTTCAAATAAACACACCACATATAATTTCCTAATTTTTTTAAACACACAACAACAACTTTGTCCATGACACCAAACACCACGAATCAAGGCACAGCATTGGCATGTAGCTATAGGTTCCCATGTCCTTAAATCCTTTCCACCAACCCTTTTGAATACCCTGCACCACGAAAAAGCCAGCCTGACTCGTCTGACGGGCACATTGCTGTTGCTTGCTGGGACGTAAAGCGACCCGTCCGTCCCGGCCGAGGCTTTGCGGAAGCACCGAAGGCCCTGGAGACGCTGGAGGAGGGCGGCGGGCACAACACGCAGAAGACGAAGACCAAAGCCTTCCGCGGGAAGGTGGTAGTGAAGGTGGCAAGACTGAAGGTGTTTGGAGCGGTCGTGCGGACACTTTCAGGATTTTTTTATGACCTGGACCCGGACCCGGACCCGACTTCAGGTACCCATAATAAATGGGAGAACGCTTGGAAGCACTTTGAAGGCTTGGGGAAAAGATGTGCATGAGGGTCTCAGGATCAGCAATTTCTGTACAGGCTTGGAATGTGTTTAGTTTGGACCCCTGAGCAACAGATGTGTTGAAAGGTTCGCCCAAGGTGGCAAAAAGAAGTTCACACCCTGCTGTGTGCTTCGTACAGGCCTCACATTTGAGTCCCATCGTGTCCATATATTTGGCCTCCAGGAGGGACAAGGACATCAATGACTGCCTGATTGGGATCTGACACTCCACCAGGATACGGAGATTCAACTCCCGTGAACAGCGCAAGATCTGTCAAGTGTGGGAGTGGACACCCCGCGACTGACGGCTTCAGACGACCCAGACGAACAGCTTCGCGGAAGACGCGGGCGGCAGCTTCAGGTCTCATGAAGAAGCTTTTTCACGGACGACTTCGACAGAACTGAGCAACTTTGGGGAGTCACTCTGAGCAACAACTCCGCAGTCGCCTCCGCGGTGTGGCACCTTTTTCTCTCCGCGTCTCAAGGCCAATTCTTCCTTCAGTTCGATCTAGTTCGCCAGATCCCAGCTCAAAAGCTCAGGTGAGCCGGACGAAGGACGGTCCTCAACAAAGGTGTTACATGATGTGTTATGGTGTGGTTGAGATGGTTAAGTTGGCCTTCGTTTATAAAGGCAACCGCTGTTTGTCTTGGCTTTGTTTGTGGGTTCAGTTACTGGGATGTGGCCGAAACTTCGAGTCCAAAGACTCCAGTCTGGAGTTCGGTGGCAAGCTTGGAGCTGCACAAAACAGGACGAGGTTGGACAAATAAATTGTGGAAAAGCAAACAACCTATAGGAGGGTGGATGTCTTAATTGTGTTTCTTTGTCTACAGTACATGGTTCATTCGAGGAGGCTGTTTGTACATCATTGATCCTTGTTGTCTCTTCATAGCACACTTTGTCACAGCCACAGCACAAGACAGCCACTAAGACATTCAAATGTTCTTGGCACAGATGTTCTTTTCTTTGAGTTGTGTAGAAATCTGCAGATGCTCCTGAAGATGGATTTCAGTCGATTTTATGACCCCTTTTTACTATTGGTTGATCAATAGAGGGGATAAATATGTCGAAGTGAACAACCAATGGATACGGTACCAGATCGAACCATGTATTAGTCCCCGAAGGACATCATTGATCGATTTCCTGCAACAGATTAAAGTTTGGGAGTGGAGATGAGTGGAGTGGTAAGACCATCAGGAGTCTACGGTAAGACCATCTACCCAGGCGGTGGACCCTCAATATGTAGGGGTTTGGGATGTTTGGGGTCTCAAATTCCGCTTTTGAGGAACTGGTCGTGTTGTGAATAGAGCGCATGGGAAACACTACAGTTACAGCAGAAATCAGCAAATTCAATCAAATTGCAATACCTCGCCATGTGTCCAAGGATTTTCCTTCCCCGGTCAGACTGGCCGAAGACTGCCGGTTCCCAAAAAGAACACGCACGGTCCGTGTGGAGCAGCCAATTCGATTGAAAAAAGTACCGGGTACCTGGGCGCGACCCATGACCTATACAAAAAAGACAGGTACGACTGCAGACACGGGAAGATCGACCCAACCAGATGGCATTTAAAAAGGTTGTCAAAAAATAAACGCATGCGTACCCATCAACTAATTTAAGTATTATATACCATAAGTACTTTATAGTGTTTCTTTTTCAGGTGACCCAACATCGGGTCTCGTACCCAAGCAGTACCAAGCAGCAGTCGGGTCCACCGTCTTCCTTGTGGGACCGTTCGGAGCTCGTCGCGCAGCGGGCTCGGCTCGCTGGAGGGAGACACGCGGGACGAACGCATGGTACCCCCACACCAGCAGTTAGTTGGAGGGCTGATCGTATCGTCGTATTAGGTATACATAGAGTATGAGGGGCTGATCAAACCAACAAAAACATCTAACACTAACACACTAACAATCGTCGAGCTTTGTACTGGTACCTAGACTATCGCCCTTGAAGGTAGAAGAAAGCATATGCAAGCCGTACAGATTCTTTGACACCGCAGGGTTTCCATGTGATCCGGATGACTCCATGGATTTGCTTCTTTGACCACCAAGAACCCTATCATTTATGAGAGGAGGCAGACCAGTCTGCATAAAGCCCAAACCTAGACCATCTTAGAGAGGATCACTCACCCCAAATCCCAGCATTTAGGCATCTAATTTGGACCATCCCTCAAGATGCGCCACCGTACAACTGACTGGTGGTTTGGAGAAAGATAGAAACACGGATGGACATCGATCTCTCAGAAGGGCGGGGCAATGCCGACTGAGGATCGAGTCCCAAGATGGGGCAACTGCCTCCTGAGAGTACCTTCTCATGTAGGCCATATGTGTTCTAAGGATGATTTTACTTGGAGCTTCAGGCAATCCACCTGCGGCTTCCACGTATCGCTCCAAAAGCAGCGATACTTCACTGAAACTTGCTGATTTTTGTTGCATCTCCATTCAATCGACGAACCAAGCATTCCGCAGAGGCGTCCTCCTGAACCAAGCCCTACTGAATTTTGGTTTGGCCTTCCTCCGACAGCGCCCCTTGGAGCGAAAGGTGAAATCCGGTCGGCCGGTGTGACATGATGCTTTAAGATGCATGATAAATCCCATGTTTTTTCTACAGAAAGAAAATCCACAGACCCATAGGACAGAATAACAATTTACCGTAACAGTATTGTATGGATCTGCCAGTGGACACTACTTGCACATGTTCTGCGGGTTGTTCAAAACATCCCTTGGGTTCACCACAGGCGCGGGGTTTTGGAGTAGGATTATGTTGCAACTCATGACTGATAGGACAAAGTACAGGGATGGTTGTGGAACTGTTGGCCACTCAAAGCCTTCTTCGACGTTTTTGTTTGGCAAGTCGCCGTAGGAATGACGTAGACATTCTGGGGCTTACAACCTCTGAAGGACAAGGAATGGCCACCCGGACCAGTTTCTTCGTGACTAGGGTAATGAATCATGTGATTGTGACAGTAGCAGATGGTTCTTGGAATTCATACTAAAGCCCTATGGAAATCATTCACTCAGTAAGGTATGATATAGGAGACACTGTGCTGGAGGTCGAAGTCCATCCAAGAACGGATCCGATGATGTTTTTGCCCACCTAGGTGGCTACAAGGCCATCCAGCCACCATATATGATGAGGAGATCCTGAAAAGCCAACCTGCCATAATTCGCCTGTGTTCAAGGTCCATTCCAAGCTTCCGAATCGCCTGTGTTCTTGACCACCTGTCCAGATTATGCCTTTGTCTAGTGAATCATCACATTGTGGCTGCTTATTGTTTTTGATAGGGAGACACCCTGGCCCAATGCGTTGTAGCCTATGTTCCTTCTTACAGTCTTACAGTTTGTTTTTCGGGGGTTTGCCTATTCTAACGCCTGTGAAGCAAGGCTTTGGCAAGTGCAAGAGCTTCAAGGTAGAACTTCTGTAGATTCTAAAGGCAAGAGGAAACCACGCTTGGCCCTGACCAACTACAAGCCGGATGCCAACTACAACACTGCAAGTCCAAAGGTTGCCATGATTCAGACCGTGAAACACAATCACCCGCCCATGTGAGGAGCACATAGACTTTGAGAGTTCACCCGTGGTGGAAGACCATTTTTCGAAGACCAACCCAGTGGTTTTGGGGGTCCATGTTATTCTGCAGGAGGATATAGGAGGATAGAGGATGTGAAACAAAGCCAAACAGAAGTGCAAGAGGTTCTATCTTGGAAATTCCATCCAAGCCTCTATCTTTGTGTGGGTGACGCTTCGTAGGTTCTCTTTGTGGTTTCACGCCGATTCACACCTTCATTCCCATCACCAGTTCAAGGCGTCCAACTACTGAAATCACCGACTCACTGACCGTTGCTTTTGCTGTGGTCCACTGCCTTCGTTGCTAGGAGGTTCCACGGACCGTCATGGATCAAGCCGCCGTCGGGGGCCGACCAAACATCAAAGCCGATGGATGCTGGGAGGTCAGGTTTCAGGTTTCGTTCACTGATGTGGTGCAGTTTCCCACTCAGAATGATGGTCAGTCCTGAGATCTAGGTTTGTCCTGAGAATGGTGTTCTAGGAATTCCTGAGATCTAGGGTTGTGTCAGTTTCCCACTCGATCTCAGGAATTGCTAGATCTGTACCCGTTCAGAATCCAGGCCCGAACCAAGTTGAAGGGTTTCGTTCGGGCCCGGACCCCTGCAAAGGTGTGGGGTCCGACCCCTGCCATGGAGGGCCCTACAATTCTTAGGGTAGCAAAAAAAATCTGAGTTTCCTCGCAGGAAAGAGTTGATGGCGGACTTGGCGCAGCTGAGCGATTTCAATGACCAGCTTTACAAGGTCAGCAAAGGAGCAATGACGGGATGCGCATGGAAACGCATGGAATATGACATCCCCGTTCCAATATCCACTATGAAATGGGGGGGGTCATCCGCCTCTACAACACGTTTTATGTATTAACTTGGGGGATGCACTCTCTGATTTTCATAGAAACACTGACTGTTTCCAGGATGGTCGTTGATTTTTGGCTGTGTAAACAATATGTGAGCAGTGCTGCTCAGAGATGTATCGCTTAAATGAGCCATGAGGGTCCAAGAGACTTGGCAAATCTTTGGGGTAAAGCTGCTGGCAGCAGCTTTATGGATTCTGTGAAGGTTATGCCTTGCCATTTTATAGTATGCTGGTTTCTGGCCAATCCCAAGGAGGCTATGTAGAACCCTGACACTGAAGCTCAAGCTTGCTTATACTCTCTAGGTATCTCGAGGTCTGTCCAGCACTGCTTCTGTTGCAGCTGTTTGTTGTTGCCCTTGCACTTGCCAGACAAGTTGCCCACCAGATCTTCCTAGAATACACCCAAGTGACCCAAGAGGATTGGCAACAACATTGTGGAACCTGGGAAGATCGTGCCTCGCCACTATATATCGCTCTCGCTCGCGCTCGGGCTCGTCGGATGAACCAGTTGGGTCGTGCACCACCCAACCGGGCTCCGAAGAGGTGTGGCCCCTGCGTGCACCTGCACGCGGCAGGATGCGGCAGGTTCTTGAC